CAGGTATATAAACAAGCCGCTGGGAAGTATGCTTTGAATTTTAAGTCAAGAACCAGCCCCTGATTGATTATAGGATCTTTGCGGAACAGATTGCCGGGTTTGATATGTACACAATTTACGATCTAACCAGAAATGGTTGCAAAATATGGGTGGCAGGAATCGAACTAACCTGAATTTCAGGTTAGAATCGAACCCGTGGCCATGCAATTGGAGTGTGACGCTGAGCAAACCTCGTTCCCAGGCTCTTTCGCTGAGCTACAAAGGCCAGCCTAGTCCCTAGGCCTCTTAATACGCCTATTACGCGTTTCTGCAAATTAATGACGTCACGGAAATTAAAAGCGTGCACAGAGGACTTGGGACAAGTCTGTACAAAGGCCAGTTCCCAAGCTGTAACCGCAAGTTCGTGTATATAGATTTCCCGGTGTGCGAGTTGTGATGAGGTAACTTGAAAGATGTTATTGCACTTCACTTGGCTGAATTAGAATGCTGGGTTATATATATATATATATATATATATATATATATATATATATATATATATATATATATATATATATATATATATATATATATATATATATATATGCTTGCACTGCTTGCAGTTTGAGCGCTCTGGCATGGTTTTGATGTCCCACAATCGTGAGGCATCAAAGGTATCTGTAAATAGCAGTTACTTTCATCCTGCTCATCAGCTAGCACTACACTGATGAGGCCCATAAGGCCGAAACGGTACCGTCTGTAGTTCTGATGGATATAAACGACTGGATGATATATATATCTCCTTGAAGGAGACTGACTGTTTTAGGAGTTTTAGTACCGGTCGGTCATACAAAATCCGACAAGAATTGTGGTACCTGTACTAACATAGTTTATTTAATTTCCTGCAAAAAATGCAATGTTCAGTATGTTGGATCTACATCTACTGAATTTAAAGTTCGTTTTCGTAACCACAAGTCAGCTATGCTTACGGATAAGAAAGTTTGTGAGATGGCCGTTCATTTTAATGAAAATAAACACGAATTTAAGGGTTTGGAATTTGTAGCCATTGAAAAAGTTGACTTAGTGAATGGCGAAAATGCCAATAACCCTTTATTGACCAGAGAAGCATATTGGATGGCACAGCTGTGTACAATTAGCCCCTATGGCCTCAATAAGAGATCTGAACTTCGATCAAAAAATAGGATCCATTATAAGTTGTAATAATTTATAATTATAACTAGCAAGCCATATTATGGTAATTTTGATCCTACTATTGATCCTCATTAATTTGTTTACTACATAATATGGTAATTTTGATCCTGCCAATGCTATAAAAGCTAGACATTGTTAAATTGTAATATAAACTGATGAAGGCAGAACTGCCGAAACGTTTTTAACTTTTAAGCTTTTATTTTAGTATGTTTTAGTTTTTTTAATAAATTGATGGTCGAAGTTGCATAGTCTCTGATTTTTAAATTGATTTTTATATATATATACGACAGTACTTGCTGTGAATCCTATTTGGATCCTTCGCCCTCGAGGAGACTTCGTTTGGCATTGCCAAACCTACTATCAAAGCTTATATATATATATATATATATATATATATATATATATATATATATATATATATATATATATATATATATATATATATATATATATATATATATATATATATATATATATATATATATATAGTGTTTTATCACATATAAAACACTCCGCTACGCGTCGTGTTTTATATGTGATAAAACACTCCTACGCGTGCTTTAAATAGTACATATATATACAGGGTGTCTCAAAAAAATCCAAAATCATTGAAATTGACGTATTGTTCGATATTCAATGCCCTAGCACTAAGTTAATCCCACGAGTGCATAAAAGATTGACATAACTGCTATAATGAATGGTAATACTCAGCGTAAACTTGTTATGTCAGGCATAAAGTACTAAACCCACGAATGCATATTACGCATATTACAATTTACGAAGCATTTTTAGATTCCCATGAGCAAACAAACGTTCACTTTACAAAGATATTTTAATTCTTTAAAACAAATTAATCACCCTGTCAAAATCCTTTGTGTTACGGCATCGAAATTCGAACAATACGTTATTTCAATGATTTTGGTTTTTTTTGAGACACCCTGTATATATATATATATATTGTACAACGGACAACGATTTGTTATTGAGCACTCTTTTTGTACAACGGACAACGATTTATTATTGTATATATATATATATATATATATATATATAAATAATAAGAGTTCAATGATATACCCTCAACTGAACATTCCTAATTCATCCAGTCGTTTACATCCATCAGAAGAAAATCGCAGCAAAAATTGCAAGTGTAAACGAGCCTTAAGTATTTCCAACAACCCAGCATTCTGAACAAATATAAACAAACTCTAGGCCGTAATCAGTGGTCGTGGAAAGTGGAAACGTAAGTTTTCCTATTAAATATTCCGTCATTTATTTCCGTGCATCTACCATAGATATAGGAGACCATCTACGTACCCAATGAATGCGCGTACCTATTTTTTCGCCAGTTTTTTTACTGTGACGTCACTGTATCATGTTGTCCATGTGTTTGGAAAGTTTTGTTTATGAATTTTGATTCATTTAATCATTTCAGTACTGGTATATTTTAAAATATGGAGGTAGATCCCAAGGATACACAGAAACCACAGCTGGAAAGCGAGAGTGAAAGCGAGAGCGATACTTCCAGTTCTTGCAGTAGCGACGAATTTTATGATAGCGACGGCAATTTCCATTTTCCTCCGCTCGGTCCGGATGGAGAACCATGGGGTTCGAAACCTTATCAATTCGAACCTATGGCTAAAAGTGGTGATGGAAACGCTTCTACTTCCAGTGATGAAGTCGATGATGAAGAAGCTTCTATTTCAAGTAATGAAGTCGATTATGAAAGTAGATTGACTAATTTAGACTGGTATGTTTTAATATAGACTGAGGCCGCGTTTACACCATACCGGATTGCTATCGGAGTGGGTCAAATTTTGCAGGTATCGAAAGGCTGTGAAGATTTTTAGTCTCAGAGACCCAAATAAACATGCCAATTCTGTCAAACTAATAAGCATTTGCTACTAACCATTGCTCCGTAACGGCAAAAGAAGATGCGTGACCAGCGAATCCGGTATAGTGTAAACAGCGCCTGAGATTATTACATAATATTTACTTGAACTGTTTAATAAGAGGTTAAGGGACCGGTCATTATTTATGGAAGGGGGGGGAGGGGAATTTTTTCTTTCCTAATTTTTTAAAATTGAAAGCCCCCCCTTAAAAGAGCAGAAATTTATTGATGACCCCCCCTACATATTAGAATATTTTTCTTTGACCCCCCCATTTTCATTTTACTCGACAAATGGGGATACCCAGGCGTTATAATGTTAATTATTAATTAAATAAGAATATGGAGCTGACAAGATATTAACGTTGACCAAAAATATATATTAGCAGAATCGAAAATTATAAATAAAAGAGGGGTATTTTCATATATAACTCTAAAATCGGGTTTCCATTTGGTCTGGGCGATTGTAACCATGTTTAACGGCAGAGAATTAATATTTAATAGTGAATAGTGTAATAATAATTAATAGTGTTTGGTGGCAGGTGCCGTTTGTGGTCCAAGGCTGTAACTAGATTTGATGGCACAAAGTCAAAGTATTGCCATAGTAGCTGCGTAGCAATGAGAGTAACAATCAGTAATATTAGCAGCAAAAGGAGATAGCCATGACAATTCTGGCTATTCTGCCAAGGCATATACCTCCGGCACCAGTCACACTGACAAGTCAGTGGAAACAAAATATAATGTATAGTGGTCTATACATCCTATTTTTAGTGAGATTAAAAATTATATAAAATAAAATGACATACTACCAGATAAAATCCTCTAGAATAAACATGGGTGGGTGGGATGGGTAGGGGAAAGGTATCTAAGTGCTAAACTTGCTGCAGCTAGGCAAAGCATACAATGGCAGTATGAATACCCAGACCGAAACACTGATCACAAGACGCGAAACAACCCCCTTTAATCGATATGACGTCACAGACTCCCATCAGTGGATGTGGCCTGCATAATACATCCACTGTTAACCTTGCTTAAATGTATTTAACCACATCAAGATAGCTGATGTAATAATACTATTAATACATTGTCAATTTATCTCTGCAATCAGTAAAGACTGATTTGCATACAGCACACAGAAGACAAGATAAATCCAGACTATTTCACATCAGTGACCATGATTTAGTCGCAATTACACCCAAATGGATACCATGCTTATTAAGCAAATTCCTTCAAATTTAATTGCAACCCCCCTCATTTTCTTGAAAAAATTTAATAGCCCCCCCTTCTAGTAACAGTAACAGTAACAGTAACAAATGGCTTTATTAGCATGACTTCACATACAAGTATTGCTAAAGCTTATTAGTTAATTATAAATAGTTACAAGTGCAATAGTAATTTATTTATACATGTGGCCCCCCCCTCATTTTTCCCCTCCCCCCCTTCAATAAATAATGACCGGTCCCTAACAGGGTGCATGGGTAGTCGGGCAGATAGTCTGATTAACCCATTGAGTGGTACTTGTGTGGTAGGCCCTCAGTTTTATGGGGGGCCTGATTTGCAACAGGCAGGATTTTGGCGGCAAAAAATCCTGCCCATTGCAAATCAGGCCCCCCATAAAACTGAGGGCCTGCCACGCAGGCTAATTGAGTGGCAGCGCTCTCCCCCTGATGGATAAAATCATCTGTCATTAGACAGAGTAAAATAATAGAGTGGGGTGCATCTGGGCACATTGCTACTTAAAGGGTTAAATACAGTATTATAACAGGTTGTGTATGCCAGTACGTATGGGATGCACTGGTTGGGTAGAGGTGAGTAGTGGGTATTAAACCCTTTGGCAACTGAGGTTATTCAATTTCAATTCAATTCAGTTTATTAATTATTCACCCAAAATATATACAATACATTTAATAAATAATAAAGAAACATATGAATGGGTGAAGAGCTAACTATTATAACCAAAATTGGGCTAATCTAGACAGTTAGCTATTCACAGGAATTATCTTATGAAATATGAATAGCACTGGATCGGAGAATTGATAATGAATTAGTATACATAAAAAAGATAATAAATAATAAATATAAGGAAAGATAGACCACATCCTCAAAAGTTGGACAATCAATGATTCTAATAAATGATTAAATAGGATTAAAGGAATATTTAAATTAAATTAGCATGCAGCTCAACTAAGATTACTATACTGTTGAATTATACCATTTTTCAAATCCACTTTGAATCCAATTTTTGTAAGTTTTTTAGCGGATTCACTGAGCGAATTCCAAGTCTTTGCTCCAATAAACCTTATATATTAAATTTTCCATAATTGGTCCTTATTTTTGGAATTGAATATGATGACCCAGAGGCAAGTCTTGTATCATGGCTATGTTTTATGTCTAGAAAAAAGGTGTCAAATGATGTTGGCAATATTCCATAATGGAAGTCATACATAAACATAGCAGTGACTACTCATGTTGTGCGAATAAGGGTTGTTGTTTCCAGCTGTTCATATGGAGCCAGGCAGGTCCGGTTAACTTGTGATGAATTATTTAATTATAACGAAGTGGTTATTCATACTGGAACAG